GAATTGTTGAAAGTACACTTGACTTACAGAAACTTGAAGGCAATTTAATAAGCGAAGTGACAAGTACCACGTTTTAATAACCCTCAATTTGATACATTTCGGCCTTGCTTTAGAGTTGATGATATACCGGGTACATTCTATATGTAAAAGGAGCTAATATGATGAATACGTAAGCAATGAAACATAAGTGGGCGCAGTATTGTTAAACCTTTAATATGGTACAAATTTAGGGCGAGTATTAAAACTCAGTGAAATTTATGTTCGCTGGTTCGTTGTAGTAGCGTGTGAACACACAAATGAGAAGCACAACAAGGTTGATAGAAGCGTAGTTTTCACATACATCATTCCCAATGTCGAACACTACTGTACAATTTTGCTTTTCAAAAAAATGTCCAAATTATTTTCTAATGTTTTGTCTCTATGACTGATATATTGAAAGCGCGAAAAAACAGTATTGGTTATTTAGCATTTTGCAGTAGTCAGTGACATTTATGAGGCAAAAGCAAGCTCGGCTAACCATCTGTTTAGGTATGGTTGAGTGGATACGGTACCCTATATCTAGCCTAGCCATACTGTGCCATTGATGGTCATGTATATTTCTGTGCAAATTACCTAATAAAATACAGAAAGGTTTTCAATTTCATACTTGGTAACTTCTTGGACATTTTAGTAATACAGTTCCCCATCACCTGTAAGTCGATTTATTCAGTGTCAAAATACAGTGATACAGTGGAAGAAACTAATATTGATTTACCAGTGCTAAGTGAGTTGACTTATCCTATTCTGTCAATGTGGTCATTGAATTTTTTGGCGGCACATGAAAAAACTTGTATTGTACACTTGTGACGTCTATAATTACTGGCTTGGTCCAGTAGTCGGCCGGCTCGATTCCTTTGTTATAGCGAAAAGTTGGGGAACAATGAAAACCACATTGACATTACTTCCGTAAAATAATACGTCATTTAATTTTTAATTTTTTTAGAGGTAGTTAAAATTATATTTGCCCTTGAATAATATAGACGAGTATTCACATGAAGGTGGAATTAAAGACATTGACGTAGGTAGTGTCTCGAGGGTGTGGCATGGGATTCCTATAATAGCTTTGGCGTCAAGGACCATTCTAAAACCATCTTGTTGGTTTTACAAATCCTATATTAAATTACAAATTAAATGTTTACTTCACAATCAATACATTTATTTTGTATAGTGTTCGCTTAAGTAAGAAAGTCGTTTAGATACTGTGTTATTAGGATATGGCAAGCGGAAAGAACAACGAAATTTCAATTGACGTCAGATCTTTAGATTGAATTCTTTCTTGATAATGGGTCAAATTTTCTCTTTGTTTGTTGTTGCATTAATGTTGAAATCCGGATCAATTAGTTGGTGTACATTTGCAAGTATGTACGGGTGCATAACGCAACATTTTAGCGACACAAAAACAATTATATAGTTGCTATATACAAACCCATAATTGTTATATTCCCAATAACCGTTTTTTTTTTGTTTTTTTTTCTAATTGGAAAAAAAATATCTCTGCGAGATTTAGTCATGACATTTGAGAACATTCGATATTCCAATAACCCGCGCCCGCGCTATTCGTGACATATACATACACGGTCTTTGAGGAGGGTATATGTGTAGTGAATTGTGAAATACCGTGGGCTATATCCGACTTAGACGAGGCGGTATAATTATATTATATCTGCATTTCCCCGTAGTATATATAGATGAAAACAACGAATCCGTTCAAAATCAAACTGCAACGGCGCGTACGCGTCTGTACTAAAATACAATGGGAGATGGAATTGGTATGTTACTTTTTTAGATACATCTAGTGGCAACGTGGATTCTAACATGCCGTAGCTGAAATTACGTTCGTTTTAAATTGAATTTCTTTTCAGTATCAGTTGCAGAACAGAAACGTACGCACCACTACATCGCACATACACGGCAAATTTGTTGATGGCTGTGTTGTTTCCTCGAGTGAACTAGTGCAAACGGTAGCCTATTGTACTGATCCTGCTTACTCGTTTTCGGTCAATTCGTTTTTCTAGCTTAACACTGCATTAAACCAATTTTCGAAAGAGTTGATCGGTATTTGCTAGTCATATTCTAGGGGTTGAATCGAAACCATATCCAATGAATAACATTGCATTATGCTCGGCTTAACCATGGCTTGCATAAATTAATATTTAGTATCGTCCAATCATATTAATGCACTGATAGCACTGACACACTTGTAAAATATAATGATGTGACATTTTTCTAATAATTCGAGCTTGTCACGCAAACAAATACCTGCATAATGATAGGGATGAATGGAACCGAAGAGCGCTGGCAAACTCAGCAGAACTTGTAATCGAATCGGTACAATAACAGTGACGGCGGCACCGGTGTCGCCCCCCCCCAAATCAAGCTGAACCCCTTTGTGTCAGCAAAATTTGCCCCTCAAAACGCAGGAAATGGCGTTCCAGAGGGTCTAGAGTTAAAATAAATTTCCGTGGAGCATGCCCCTGGACCCCCTAGAAAGGTCGCGGCTTAGGCGAGAGGGATAGTAAGCAGATCTCGTCCCCATGAGTGCAAAATTTCGTAGTGTGTCTGGTGTATTACTAATAAAGCTGTTTTATAAAACAAGAATTTACGCAAGTTAATTGCGGTAATTATGACGCGAACACTTCTGCTCAGTATGCAGAGGCGTTGGCACGAAATTGTGTATAGGAGGGGGGCGAAATCTGCTCACCGACCTTACGCTGAAAGCGCGACCATACCCCCTTCAAAAATTGAAATATAGACCCTCTGAAACGCTATTTCCTGCATTTTGAGGGAGGAAATTTTGCTGACACGAAGGTTTTCAGCTTGATTTTAGAGAGGGGACGCCCGAAATTTTTTTTTCGAGGGGCGACGGTTCTATCTGACCCCCCGTTGCGCCGCCACTGGTATGTGGCATTAGTTTGCACTAGTTTAGGCGACACAGCGCCATCAGTGTTGGGAACACGCAATAACAATATACGTGATCAAAGTAGAATCGAAGTAAGATATTAGTCACAGGAATCTACCTATCGCTACACTTACTGGCTTGGTTTTTTGCGGTATATTTGGATCGTAACGTGTTTATATCATGTAGTAGTTTATATATTGTTACAACATTAATTAGAATATTTTAAAGATTATGTATGTTAAATGTTAAGTATAGATATTTGCATGAACAAGAGCGTGAATATTTCGAAGCGGAACAACCCGCGGAAATGAATGCAGTTTTCAATTGGTTATGTAAGGCCAGACAATTTTTTTGACTTACAAGTCGGCGGGCTTGAGAAATTACGCTGAAGTAAAATTTTATTTTTATTTCAGTTTTCGGCTCCTGTTCATTCGGCGGGTTCGCGAAACAAGGGATAATAAAAGTCTGGCCTAAGAGTCTATCATAGCTTTTTTTGACTATATTAGTGTTTGGGGAAAAATATTTGAACCACCAGGAATGCGACTCTCAGTTGACCAATTTATGAATATATTTATGCAATTACAGAAGAATCAAATACACCTATAAGTTATACAATGTTTATCTGAAGTTACATATCTATTGTATATAAAAATGATTTCCGAAAGTACCGTTTCCGTGGCAACTGGATACATTTCAACTATAATATAATTGATTGATCCGTGTGTGAAATTCTTTCTAATAATTTTAAGAGGATCCATTCATACCTTTTTGAGTCAGGGAACTCATCTCCAAAATTGCTGCTTCTATGGCAACAGAATCCACTTGCCAACCATAAATATTTGTGAGAATAATAACTTTTCATAAAAATTAATTTTGGGGGTTATACATAAAAAATCATTCCTAAAATTGATGTCTACACTGATGTAAACTGATGTCTGTACAAGAAATCATGTAGTTTATCGAATTTGGTATTTGCAGAAACAATTCCTAACGTAAAAAGAAATGCACATGCCAACCTTGACGGTAAACATTTGCGGACGGAAAAATGTCTTTTCGTGTGTATGATACATCATATAATACCACGGTTACTAGACAAAATGATTAGGAAACTTTCTCGGTTCTTTTGTTAGAATGCGTGTCTCAGTAAACATTTAAAACAAATAGAATAAGCATACTGCCGACGTTGCGGCGATCACAATTTGCATAAAATTACATATTCGTTCGGAGACGATCAAGCGATTGGGTTTTTCTGTAATGTTTTCCCAATTTATACAGCATTGTCAGGACTTGGTATGAATATAAACACTGAAAGCAAAAAATATATTCAGATTTAAACTGTACTATGAAACAATACAACTTCCTGTGTCACTTACACTGCCAATGGCAGCGATCGGGGAAAAAACAAGATGACCAACATTGCTATTCGAAAGAAATATATCTACAAAATTCAAGAAAATAAAACATTTTTTTAAACTATCATAGTTCTCACATAAATGAATCGCAGATTCTAATTCAATGCACAAAATAAACTTTTAAAACGTTCCGAGATACATTTGAAACGATGAAAATTTGTCTACAACAACTTAGTATTTAATTTACTGAAATTATAACAATGTAAACTATATTTACTGATTTAGCAATGCGTTGTACTAAAATATATTTTCCCGAACTATTATGAAAAACGCAGACAAAATGGCTGAGTTCGCTAACCTTAACACAATAAGCGTTAGTTATGATAATCGCAGTTCCACATTAAAATACCCAAACCTTGACGTAGTAACGAATACTTTAGAACATTAACAGTTTTTGTAGTAAAAAATGCCGTGGTCAATTTCGGTTGACAAACGGCAAATCTATCAACAACAAAAACTATCGGTATTATTCATTTCAACAACAAAACCTCGAATAAGTTCTCGGCCTCACCATGAAACAAGAGGAGGAACTCCTATTCTGGGGTATAACTTTATACAATAATGTCTTAAGAACTACCTATAGAAATGCAAATTTGGGTATGCATTAATTAGCATGTGGTGCCCATTTAAAAACAGCAGGTGAGACGAAAATGGACCAGACAGAAGCTCGTGCTGTGATCAAGTATCTCAATAAAAAGGGGATGATTTCCAAAGATATCCGCAAAGACATGGTCACGACACTTGGTCAGGACTCCCCTTCTTATTCCACTGTGAAGAAGTGGGTTGTTAACTTTAAGTGAGGCAAGGAGACCACGAAAGATGACCCAAGGTCTGGACGCCCAAAATCTGCCACCACGGACAATCAGGTTGAGGCTATCCATTGCATAGTAATGAATGACAGACGTGTCACTATCTGACATATCAGGCATCAGTTATGGCGCAGTTCAAAATGTTTTGTTGAACATCTTGGGGATGAGCAAGCTGTCTGCAAGGTGGGTGCCCCGAATGTTGACTCAACATCAGAAGTTGAACAGGTTGGAAGTTTTAAGGACGCTTTTGGCCAGTTTCCAGTCAAATCCTGGCAACTGCCTCAAGAGATTTGTGACCCAAGATGAGACATGGGTTTACCACTTTGATCCAGAATTAAAAGAGAAAAATAAACAATGGACACACAAGGGTTCACGGCCGCCCAAGAAGTTCAAGCGAGTGGCATCAGTCGGCAAGGTGATGGCCTCTGTGTTCTGGGAGTCATCATGATTGACTAATTGCTTCAGAACAGTTAAGAGCAGCAATCAAAGAGAAAAGAAGAGGAAAGCTTCGAGCTGGAGTGCTGTTTCTCCAGGACAATGCACCTGTCCACACAGCACAGGTGGCTTTGAACCCTTACCTCACCCTTCCTACTCACCTGACCTGGCACCATTGGACTTCTACCTGTTTCCTAAACTGAAGTTCCACTTGCGTGGTCATCGTTTTGAGACTGATGATGACGTCATCCAAGCTGTTGAGGCCTATCTAAGGGATCAAGATGAAACCTTCTTCCAGCGGGGAATAGAAAAACTGGAACATTGATGGACAAAGTGCATTGAACTAAGAGGGGACTATGTTGGACACGCATCAAAGTGAAGTCAATTGATAATTATTAGCATATCTAAAAATAGAGTTTCCTAACAGTTCTTCTAGTAACCATGACAATACAAGTACAGAGTAATTTTACGTATTAATATTACTACAATCAGCGAACACAATTTTGGTTTCAAATACCCCGGGAAAGTGTTCTATGTTCTTCATGTAATTAGCTGTTCGTATGCAAGGAATTTTCCACATGAAAACGACGAATTCAGACGAGTTTTGTTAGCTATTGGCCTTAAGTTGCCCAGACGAATCAATTGGCTCTGAAAGTGTAATACCCCCCCCCCGATTTGAATAATTCTGAAAAAACTGTCTCCTAACTTGTCTCTTTATTTAGTTTCAAGCCGTATTCAAGATTGCTGTCCCCATAGTAAATATCGGTAAATATTGATCGCATTTATTTTATTATCACGTGTACTCCAGCTGAGTATGACATAAATGTTTGTCTATAAATTGCATGTGGTACGAGTTTGCTCTGTTTGAGCTGATGATGAACAAACAGCTTTCTGTATAACATGTAAAAAAATGTGTATTTCCAGGAGGTGGCGATCTCTGATTAATTTAGACAAGTTGTGTACAGGAACAATTGTTACTAACTTTTTTAGGGTTTGCCATTAGATACGATGGGCGTTTAATAAGTAATGACTCTGACCCACTTCCAGTTGTCTGATCTAGATGAAATTTTGCCTGTGTAATGATTTACATCTCTATTGGTTATGTTGCGAAAAACAGCTCTGAACTAATTGTGGTTTCTGATTTACATGTGTTTGAACTGAGTCAGGTGTGAAATTGAGCCAGTTGAGTGTCACACAGTGAACCGTTTTTTGTATGTGAAAGGACGCACACCAAAGGAGACTTTTGATGAAATGAAAGAAACTTATGGTGATGATGCCCCATCATGCTGGCATCGTGAATTCAAGCATGGCCGGAAGTCTGTGGAAACAGCTCCCAGACCTGGTCATCCCTCTTCTGCCATTGATGAGGCATCTGTCCGTCAATTTGAGGCAGCCATTTTGGAAGATCGACGCATTACGGTTCGCCAAATAGCCCAAGTGGTAAAGATTAGTACATGGTCTGTGGAAACTATCATTCGTGACCATTTGCATATGCATAAGGTGTCTGCCAGATGGATTCCCAGGTTGCTCACACCTTTCCAGAAGCAAGAACGTGTTGAGTGCTCGAGGATGAATTTGGAGATGTGCCAAGAAGATGAGTTTTTCAAAAGACTGATTACGCAGGATAAAACTTGGGTCCATCACTATGACCCAGAGACCAAATCCCAATCAATGCAGTGGAAGCACTTGGACTCAACACCACCAAAGAGGCAAGGGTCCAGCCCTCTGCTGGCAAGGCCATGCTCACAGTCTTCTTAGACCAGGACGGAGTAATGATGACAGATTTCCTGGCAAAGGGTAGTCACAATTACAGGAGCCTATTACTCTTCACTTTTGATGAAATTAACAGAAGCTATCAAAATTAAGAGGCGGGGCAAGATAAGCAAAGGTATCCTCCTCCTGCAGAACAACGCTCTGGTCCACAACTCGCATGTTGCCAGATAAGAAACACGGGCGTGTGGCTATGAAATCCTCCCTCATCCCCCTTACTCTCTTGACCTTGCACCCTTTCACACTTTCATTTCTTCCCAGCCATGAAGTTGTTTTAGAAAAGAAAGCGTTTCCCAGATGATGCAGCCTGTTCCAGTTAGGAACCAGATTGCTGTTGCTTTCTTAATGATGTTGCTGTACTTGTTTTGTTGCTTTATGTTAAATGTGTGTAGAATTACTTTTTGTTATTGTTTTTTCGTTTTCAAAAAAATGCCTGCATAAATAACCCGTACCAAAACGTTTCTAATGAGCAACCCCCTTAAATTCAATTAGGAATGAATTTATATATGCATGGTACAAGTATGATTTCAATGACTAAATAAGTAAATGCATTTCGCGAAGTGATTGAGTTCAAAACTAGTAGCGCCACTGTTCAGTCTTTTGATTTCCAACCAAAATTTACAGAGGCGCCTTCAAAAACAAAGCATCTTTGAAATAGATATCTGGAAATGCGTATATTCAATAGTTTATTCAAAATCAATTTTTATCAAACACATACATTACCATACTTCGTGTATTAACACCGGGTCACCTAAATTTTGTCAATAAGTCGCATGGCTACTCAGACTAGTGAAATAAACATATTCAGTCACTCTGCACACTGGATATATTCATTCAATACAGTCAATGTATGCACTAGGGTCGAGTTAGCAAGTAACAGATCCCAAATCACAGTGAAAATCACATTCAATGGTTGTAGCGGCATTCACTGCCGCAAGAGTAAGGATTACATGCGTTCAAGTCCGCTGTAGCTCGATATCAAGATGCCTATGGCATCCATAAATATCTCGGTAAGTGTTCCTTTTGCTTAAACTTAACAAATAGTTGTTTGTGGCTCACCACAGTCACAACCAGTCATCAAGTATATCAAGTATACTGTGATACCAATGAGACTATCGGTATTCCTAATACATGAACTATCAATACAACAAACTTACATTTAATAGTAATCAATAGTACACCATTTCCATGTTCTGTCTCATTATTGGTCAACAAGTGGTCACGTGAGATGTTAAAGAACTCAGCATATGATGAATAAACAACCAAACGTCCTTGTTGTTATTAATCACTAATTTCGTGTAGTCAGAATGTGTGTTTGTTTGTTTCAAATAAAGAACTCATAAGTACGTGATAACGGTGTTCAGATGGGGACGATCGCCTTAATAAAAAGGCCGCGAAGACGTATCGCTCGTTAATGCGCACATCCCCCCGTCTGAACCCTGTTACCAATAGCAGCACGAAGTTCTTTATTTCATTATAATGCCCTGAAATGCAGAAAATTTTAACAGAGTTTCAAAACACTACCCAGTAATGTTGTTGCATTCCAGCTTTACTCTTGTTGGTTTTTTGTCGCAAATAATGAATTTAATTTTTAATTAGAAGTGACGTCTAATTTGTCGAACGTTATTTATAAAAACATGAGGTACATCATAATATTGTTTCATCCTGTGTAGTGTATCTGCATTCCCTCAATTGCCAATGACTCTCAAACAAATGATGAAAACAATAAATTGTAACACAATACATAGCACAATGTATTGTCCGTGTTCTAAAATATCATAATTGAAATGTCTATAAACACAATATCCGATTCAATTTGACCTTTTAAAGAACTTGTGTTGTTAGTGAATGCAATTATTAATGTAATACTACCACCAAATGTGGGTGTCATTTCACAGATTTCATGATATATTCCCCCAAAACAAGATGATGATCAGATGAAACCCATCACAGTGGTTAATTGTTCGTATTGTATTACGGATGTACAAAGGAACTTGCACGTAAATCTTCAATGGCCTATCAGAGGTTTACAAAATGTGGATGTGGAAAAGCACTTTTTCCCATTCTAGAAAATCATGGAGTTTATATTTATTTCATTTTATTGTTCACTGTTTGCGTACAGCATATTTATTTGAATGCGAAGGCAAACTATGATTAGAGTCCGACCTCACGACTGTCAATTGCAAGAACGTTTAATTCTCTGCGTTTGAATTAATTCACGATAATTTATTTACAACCTTAAAATTGGTTGCTTCATCAATACAAGGCATGTATCAAAGGCATGTTCTTGGGAATCTACCCATACTACCTTTCTACGCTGCCTTTTTCTGGTCAAATCACTGAGAGAAGCTGCTATTGTAGAAACATTTGATACAAATTTGCGATAGTAACCAGTCATGGCTAAAAATTACCTTACTTGCTTTATTGTTGCACGCTGCGTGACCTCTATTTTATCTAGTAATACTTTCAATGTATCGTCACTTACCTGGTGACCAATAAACTCTAAATTTGTAAAACCAAAGATACACTTTGAAGAGGCTGGTCTTCAGGTGATGGCATTGGTTCTGCATCGAACACTGTAATGCGATTGGGGTTGCGAAAATCAATGCAAACATCCCCTCCTTTCTAGCATAAATACACCACGATTGTCGCTTCATATCAGCTTCATCCTTGCCATCTGATGACACCATGTAGCCTAGGTACTTTTTCACTGAGACGAAAACCAGAGGTTTACCATACAAGTACACGCTTGGGACCCTTGTCTGTCCCCACGTTTTTGAAAAAAATTACATGCATTCTGTCTTAGTAGTGTGGAAAAGAATGTCAAACTCCTCACCATAACACTCGCAGATCTCAACAAGCTTTTTCAATGATTTGACAGAAGGTGAAACTAACAAAATATCATCAGCATAAAAAATATGATTCATTATTTTACCAGCTAAATGACATCCAACACCCGCTTGTTGCAGCCTAGTACTGATATCATTAATATAAATTGAAAATAACGTCGGCGAAAGAATGCTTCCTTGTCAAACTCCATTGGTCACTCTAAAGGACGCAGAAATTTCTGAAGCCCATCGGATACAAAAAGTTTGACATCGACACCAATGCAATAGACAACGCACAATGAATACAGGCATTCCACTATCAAGTATTTTTTTGAATAACTTCCAATGGTTTACCCTGTCAAACGCTTTTGTTGCGTCCATGAAACAAGCAAAACGGGCGAGTTGTGACTTTTTATGCAACACAACAACGAAGAGACACATGCGTATTGCTTGCAGAGGAATGCTGTTATTCTGGAGGGCATCGCTGATAGCAGGAGATCGCAGAGCAGTTCATACAAGTCTCACAGTATTGCAGCAGCAACACACAGGGTACTCAGTTGAAATGATGGACCACAACTGTCCTCAGTCTAGCCAATTTATAGACATTAATGGCCTAGATTTAGGCACACCAGCAGCTGTCTCACGTAGGCAACTCAGTAGATAATAAACATCCTTTGTTATATAAATCATAAGCACTTCTGGTATGTTCCAATTGACCTTCCAGAGT